AATCAAAATTATAAAACGAGTTTAACTTTAGAGTATGTGGGAAACTGGGAAGGGAAAAAAGTGTCAGAAAAGTATTGAAATTACATCTAAAATTAATTAAAGTTCATGTATATGATAGGAAAATGTAATAAACAAGTTCAATTAGAGCTTTAAAATTACGAAGGTATAAAATGTACGAAACATGTTAAAATAATATCTGAAATTGAATAAGCTCATATACTCAGAAAATAGAGGAATTAGCTAAATTAGTAGCCTGTTGAAATTAGAAGTGTAAAAACGTATGAGCATTGAAAATATAAGAAATTAGTTAAATTCTTAGTATGTTGGAACTAAAAAAAAAAACAAAAAAAAAAACAGAAAAGTTAATTTACATCTAGAATTAATAAGTTGGTATTAGTAGAAAATGTTAAGCAATTTAAAATTAAAGTTTTATTCAAATTTCGAAGGTTTAAAATGTATAAAAAAATTACATCTAAAAGAATAAAGCTCATATTTGGTCAGAATATAGAATTAAACAAAATGTAAAGTATTTTAAATTACGAATTTAACGTGAATTAGCTATAACTTAAATGAAAGTCATGTAAATATAGCACTTGTTAAATTCAGAGTATATGGAAACTAAACGTTAAAATATAGAAAAAGAATTTGGTACACCTAAAATAAAATCAAGGTATATCGTGTGAAATATAGCAATTAGGTTAAAATTAGGACTATATTGGGAAATTATTAAGGTTAAATGTATGAAGAAATGAAGTAAAGTCATGTACGTAGTGTGAAAATATAGCAATTAGTTAAAACTCATAGTATGTTGGGACTAAAAACGTTAAAAAAAGAATTAAAATTTACACAATAATAAATAAACGTCCTATATGAGATGAATGCAGGAATATTTAAATTGGATTATATTGATCATGAGGTTAAATGTATAGAGAAATCAAGTAGTCCTGTATACAGTGTGAAACTATAAACTGGTTAAAAATTTAAGTATATAAATAGTGGGGTTAAATGTCCAACAAGCTATAATTTTACATCTAAAATTAAATACAAGTCATCTATGTGTTAGAAATTATAATAAGTTAAATACAATATGTTGAATCGCTAACGTTGAAAACAAAATTAAAATTACATCTAACATTGAATATAACACCCGAAATCGTGTTTTAGTATTACTCATAAAATATAACGATAAGTTAAAGTATTGCCTAACAAGTCTGAAAAAAATTTTGGGTATAATGATTTAGGAATAATGAGTAATGCAATGAATATTACGGAAAGTTATGTGATATATGAACAGAATATTTAAGAAATAAGGAAAATTCTGAGTGTATAGGATGAATTCAATCATTAAATTCGGAAATAATCCTCGTTCAGGGTAACTAGGGAGATATCACTCATATACGTCGTAAAACATTGGAATAAGAAAAACACAAAGCTAAAATTTATTAACGAAGGAAATCACCTTTGATAAATCAGTAAATATAATCTCTTATTAAATTGTGATGACATGTGCAATTTTGCATATTCAGTCATAGAATATAAAAGTAGAAAATATTTCTTCAAGAGTTTATCTGTGAGGAAACCTTTTATTTTATATCTATTTAAGGAAATGACTGTATCAGTCACTTAAAACACCTACTTGATATACGTTTTTAAGAATTCAATAAGAAGTAAAGTACCATTATCATATAACTACTAAATCACCTAATTAATAAAACCTAAGCACACGTCCTTTTCTGTGACGTACACTACTCTATTCCATCCACCTCCTGATAAGCTCCCTGTCGCCATTTTCAGATAACTCCCTTCCACGCTTCCTTCTCGCCTTCCTTCCAGCCTTCCTTCTCGGAAGCTCCCTCAACTCCGGCTCCCTAATGCTCGCGAGCCAGAACTCTCCTTTCCCCTACTTGTGTGTTACCTATATTTATTGAATATCATGTTCTACTCCCGTAAACCATATACATTTGAAAACAGCATAGCTTTAGAATTTCCGCACTGGAGATAAAACTGTTATTTTCTGTACAGTACTCTCTCTGAACACGTTGAGTTTGTTAATCAAAAATCCGTTAAAGTTTTATAAAATATGAAACAGATTAAAACAAATTCGAAATTCAGCCGTCCAGATGCCCATCTTCGGGGAGATTACATTATTCAAAATTTGATGCTGTCGTTTTTGTCACAGTGCGAGAAACATACATGTATTCATGCTGATTCTTCTTTTTTTAATTTCTTAAATATAATACAGGGCGATAATATTTGGTAACAACATTTCAAGGAGACACGGACATTTATAGTAAAACAGCGCAAAATGCCGCTTCGAAACTACGCCTTTCTAGGCTACTGCCGCTTTGGAGCTATAATTAATTAACAGTAAAAAAAAAATCTTATGAAGAACTAAAATATTAAAAAATAATCACTATAAAATACAAGTAAATTAATTATTACTTTAATACATTTTAATATTAGAATTAAATGTATAAAAATTTTTAAGGAGTCAAAGTATTTATCACTATGATGTTTATGAAATAAATTGAAATAAAATTCCTTATAGAAATTGTGCTATAATATTCATCTATAATTTTAAAAGTAATACATTTAGAATTTAAACAAAACTTTCGAAATTCGAAAATGAAATATAATTGAAATAAAATTCCTTTAGAAATTGTGCTATAATATTCTCTATAATTTTAAAAGTAATACATTTAATTTTAAACAACTTTCGAAATTCTTTTTAAATATTTTAGTATTTTTTTACTTATTTACACCAATAAAGCATAAAAAATTGCAGAAAATTGCTTGTTTGAATTTTTCTATTAGTTCAGATTTAAAATATTATTTTCTAAAAGATGTAGTTACAAATTTCCTTACAGCATAGGAAATAAAGCATTTTTTTTTTAGCAAATGCATAATTACTTAAATTTAAATAAGGAAAATTCTGAGTTTTCATTATCCGTTTATTTATTTTTTTTTTCAACATGCATTATACAGTATTTTTTATGTTACGTAAACAAAACATAAAATGCACCTTTCTAAGGAATATTAAAGACAGAATTTTTATTTGCTTAACATTCAGTGCATTACTGTTATAGCTAATATAAAATATTATAACTTTTTGTTTAAGCTAATTCTAAAACTAAACGCGTAATCTTGTTTTGACTGTGCAAAAACTGCACGAAGGAACTACATTTTAAGTACCTGTAAAATATTGAAATTTTGAATAGCTGTAAAACGAAGTAAAATATCTATTTCAAGTAAACAAAAAAAAAAAAATGAAATGAAATCTTAAGATTTCAAATTCTAAAATCTTAGACAACAGTTTATCATTGAAAATTTAAAAAAAAAAAAAAAAAAAAAATATTTGAACAAAATTTTAAAGTATGAAACAGCACAAAAAAATTAAAAGAAAATGGTTCTTTCATAGCACATGGCATTAAAAATATCTTTTATTCATAAACAACGAAACATGAAATATTCGTAAAAATTTATCAGTTGTATATAATATAATTACTTCATTTTGATTACATACATTATTAAGAAGTAAAGATGGGGTGGGTGTATTTAATTATGGCAAAGCCCACGAGGGCTTCTGCCTAAGGGAGGGATGCCTTCGTGGAGGACTTTCTAAGGAAACTGCTCGTATACACGTTACACATGGGGAAAACCACGAAAACACCCATGCAGCCAGCCCGTTCGCGGGATTCGAACCTCGGACCGAACTACCAGTGTTCAGCGACTTTACCGCTCGGCCGCTAGCGGGCCGGAAGAAGTAAAAAGATCTACATTAATAAGAACTTTATTCGGGACTTTTAATTCGCCTTAATTTGTTAATTAATACTAAATTAATTTAATTTGAAGTCATAAAAGTCATTTTTTTGAAGTCCATAAGTCAGTGATTTTATGCTTTGCCGAATGGTAATACTTTGATACTTTGATTCCGCTACGTGGACAATAAATATATTATGTTTTGCGGAGTTTTCACAAAATTTGCTAAGGCTGCTCCCAGATTCATTCCATTCTTTTCTTTCATTAATTATGCCAGGGCAGGATTTTATACGTTAAGTGAAAACAACGCACCTCTTCAGAAGCATAGTAACACTAGCTCACTGCTTCTTTTGCAAATATGATAAAACTAATAATGTAATAATAACAAATTTTCTATTGTTGTACAGCATCTTTTAAAACACAATATAGACAATAATACGCACCGGCCTCATATTGGGCATTCAGCAAACCAGTAAACGGCTGTGGCACGTTGGCCCAAGAAGTCCGCATTTACATCGTGTGGTTGTTTCTTACGGTGTGCATCAAAGGCTGAGGGCTGAGTTTTGTTTTTCCACTTCCAACGAATATGGACAACGCATGGCATTGTTATAACCTTAAAAAATTATAAAATTAAGAGTAATATTCTGACAAAAATGTGTAACTGAGCTTATGACTGAAATGTGTAATGTATAGTATAAGAAACATTTTATATGTGTTATATTAAATTGCACTAATATTCATAACTAACAATAAGAGCTGAGCTAATCATAGTTTTGAAGGTTCTCAAACTTATGCATGAGTTAAAGGTTGTTATATTTACCTTGTTTTCCGCTATCTAAGGCACATATTCTTTTCGTCTTATTATTTTTTAATTACAATTAGTTTTTAAATGAGGAGCTCGATCAAGCGTAAATTAGAGAATGATAAGTGCTGAAATAAAACTAAGTACTGGAACCTATAAATTAACGGAGAAAAGAAAAATTGACGTGATTTCATTTGAAAACCAGAGCTGAAATAAAGTAGGGAAAGAAAGTGAGAATTAAGGCTTGTTTTAAATTTTTATTTAAGTAAGCAAATGCTTAATAGATATTTGCATAAAACATTAAATTAATAATAATAAACATTAAAATACAAATAACTAATATAAATTTTTAATTTGCATTTTAATGTTTAATAAACATTAAAATGTAAATTAGAATAATAAAATACCTATAACTAATAGTTACAGGTATTTTATTATTCTAATTTGCAGTCTATAAATATTATAGGAAAAAGTTTTATATAGTTTAACAGTAGAAAAAATAAAGAAAGTCAACATAATAATTAGTTCAAATAAGCAAAATTTTATCATTAATTTCACTTTTGTTGAAGGTTATTCCAACATTAATAAGTAAAATTGGACTATGCTTCAAAAAAATTGCAGTCAGCGGTAATTTTCTTATTTGTGCAAATTATTACAGTAAACTTCTTCCGTTTTTTACTCTGAATGCTATTTTTTTTTTCTTTTGATTAACTGGCCATTCATTTCTTAAATCTAAGATTTGGTCCCGCAGAGACCCTTAATCGGGACTCTATTGCAGTATATCAAAGGTACACAGTTTACATAAAATAAGCAACAATGTCATGTAACAGTAGGTTCCGATGGGAGTTAATCTCAGAACAACCATTTTACCTTCTACGAGCATCCACACGCTTCGACAACCATGTTAGTTAACTTCTTGTTATGGATGTAATTCTCATCCGCGTATAAAACATGCAGGTGACTGAACCTGGTTGGTCTGCAGCAAGAGGCCCAGCAGAGACCATGCGTGTCCACCAAAGTCTTGTTTTTCTCAAATGTCTCTGTGATGACTGTCTGGTAGAAACTTCTGGAACTGCTCCTGTCCTTCCAACATTCGCCTGCGCAGAAATACGCAACGTATTGGGCAGGCTCTAAAATGAAACTATCAAAGCCGATGTCACTGAACTTCACAGTGAAGGGTTTACGTTGACAGGTGTTGTTTCCACTGTTGCTTCTTCTTTTCCTTGCTTGTATGTCGGGGTCCTTGGCTACCAGAAGAAAAGGCCGTCGGTCGCCGTCTTCTGTGACATTTAAACCTGCGAAAATGGGAATTTTTAATTAATTTATGTGATAATTATGTTAATAAAATTTATGTGAGCTGGTTATTGATTAATATACAGTTCCAGTTATCCATACTATAGCTGGGGCACAACCCATCCAGATAATCAAAAAAGCCGAAAAATCCTGTATTTTCAATTTTTTACTTATCATTTAGTGTTAAGCACCGTTAGCCTTGAAGAAATATAGATCAAATGCCTATAAATCGGAAAGTATTTATTTTTATCAGAAAGCATTTACTACCGTTTTACTGAGGAAGTCTTCGAGTTTATAAACATCCACCTTTAATTTGTTTTCTTCAGCTTCACCAGAGCACTCTTTATGAGGGTAAAGCTGTATAGCCGTTAATGAAATAGAATGGAGATATTTTTTGCAGTTGAATATGCGAAAGCATTTTTTCCATTGTTATACAACATCTTTAAAAACACGATATAGGTGACAATTTGCTTCGGTGTCGTACTGGTCATTCAGTAGACCAGAACACGGCTGAGGCATGTTCGTCACCAAGAAGCCCGGATTTAATACCGTGTGGTTGTTTTCTTATGGGATGCTTCAAGGGCTGAGTTTTTGTTCCTCCACTTCCAACAAAGTTGGACAACGCATTACAACAGCTGCTGCGGCTGAGCATGCTGGGATGTGTTTGGAAAGAACTTGGCTATCGTGTTGATACTGTCGTGTCGTAAAAGCGTCTAGCATTTGTAACTTAGTCATGCAAACTTGAAGACATATTCTTTTAATGGTGTGAGTATTTCAACTTTGCTTTTAAAATTTATAAAACTTAAAATTGTTTTTTTTTTCTTTTAGACTAACCCTGTATTATCACTATGACAGGAAGGGTACACGAAACCCTTTATTTTTCTATCTTTACAGCGATTTCCGGACTTCGGAATACAGAGACCAACCACTTGTGGTCTGAACGTAAGAATATAAAAATACTAACTAAAACTCTAATTAACTAACTTTGGATTAATATACAAGTGCCTACTTTAAGATTGGCCGTTATTAACAAAAGCCGTAGTAGTACAGAGAGCTGCTAAAACTACGATACGTTTAAAATTATCAAGAGGATTAAACCTCTGGCCTTGAAGGCAACAGCAACCAAGTAAAACAACTATGGCAAGCGGCCTGCTTCTAATAACTCCTTCCTCCTCTTTGCTTTGGCAAAAAGCCACAACTTATTACGTGGCGTTAGCAAGAAATTTGCATAAAGTAAAAGCTTTTAATTCTGGCCGGAAGTAGAAAATCAGAAGTGATAGTAAAGATTTAAAATAAAATAAACGTTAGTAAAACTTAGGATCCTTACATACTTCCCGCCAGAGTTAATTAGTTTGAAACTGAGGTCTAAAACGACCTTAGTTATAATTCATGAAAATGTTAAATTTATTGTCAATTGCTCTGCCGCCATTTCGAGATATCTAAAGGAGTGGCACATACCACTTTAAGGGGCTCTGTTCCAAATCAGTGATTCCTTACTTTTCTAGCTCGGAAAGCGGGAAAAGCGAGTTCATTATAGCAAAAAAAAAAAAAGGTTTTAAGGTTCAATATTTTGTATGAGAAATTGCTCTATGGTGGTATGAGAAATTGCTCTATGGTGGTAGAAAAATAAATTTTAAGTTAATTTACTTTTGGTATTTATTTTATTTACATAACTTAACACAGTTAAGAAGTTTGATTTGATCAATTTGGCAAACTTTAACCCTGGGTCTACGATCAATAGTTCAATAGATATTTTATCGTGCGCTAAGAATAGCATATCAGATATATGGTAATGCTCCATGTGTTTTCCAGATCTGAAGTAGTAGTGATTTACTAGAGTAAATTTAATATCAATATGCATTGTTTAGTTATAATTTTTAAATACAGTTTTATTACCATTAACTTCAACGTGACACACTAGATCATCCGTTCCTGTACCACGTATCAGCTCCTTCGGCAACTCCACTTTGGTCCAACCAGATTTAGTTTCATTGTCTGTTGATATGAGATGGTGAAATATATTATCTGGATCATCTGAACAAAAGAATAACAGGAACGACAATGGAAATGATTCGTTTTCTTTATAAAACCAAAAGTCCATTGGTGTGGCTGATACGAAATTGCTGGGTAGAACGAATTCAAATCTTTTGCATAATGTTACGTCAGTTTCCAAGCACCTGAAATCACCTGGTATGAAAAAAGAAATTTTGTTGTTATTGTGAAAGGTATGAGCACTAGAAAAAGGTAAATTTCAATTATTCATTTATGCGATAATTTCTATTAATTAAAATGCCACATTAGGCTGTAGGATTTTCCACTGTGTAATTCTAAGTTAAGGTTGAAAGTGAAGAATCTTAAGAACTAGTAAGCGAATAATCGCTTGAGTTCGTGAGACAGTAAATAAACTTGGAAAGTGGTAAAAGACCCTTTATTATTCAAATAAGATTTAACAGAACTCAGTCTTGGAGTTCTACAACAAAGTCGACACTCGGGCTTCAACTTAAGAGACTAAGAATTAAGCTAAACTAATCTTAACTAAAGAGATATAGCCGAAGCTATCAAGATTCTAACAAAGTTGGCCCCTTGACACTAAGTGACTGCGAAGCTATCAAGGGCTTAAAGTATGGCTGAGCGTAATAATAGCTTACGAGATATTAACCTAAACAGGCAGACGCGTGCTAGCCAGAATATCTCGTATCTCTCTCACTAGGACAGTAGAACTTCCCGGTTAAATACCGCTTTTCATCATTAGCATTCATACATGATTCTAAAACTACGTTCTGGCCGGAAGTGGTAAGTTGAAATTAAGAAGCGATAGGAAAGGAAGTTTAACTCAAAATTTAACTGTTAATAAAATTAACATAATCCATATAAGGCTTTCCAAAAATATAAAAATTCAGCATGTTAGTAAACAAACATTTTTAATAGAGGAATATGCCAATGTAGAATTTAAAATTATATAAAAAGTAACCTCAGTTTAGAGTACATTTTGAATAAAACTAAGGATTTCAAGGGCAGAAGGAAACGGACTTGCGGCATCACCATCGAAATAGATAATGGCTGAGCGATAAGTTACTATGTCCCAACTAGGGGACCGTTTACGTGTAATCCTAAGTTTCCACAAGTCCCATAGTTTATCTTAAACAGCGCAATGAAATCGATGCACGAATTTAATTTGAACCGAACGTTTTTCCAGCTACTACATAATTATTCGCAAAAATAAAATATCTGTATTTTCCTTTGATGTCATTTATGTTTGAAGATTTTTGGGGGACTGAAATCAGATTCTTTTCCTTCCAGTACCATAATTTTCTAACATAAAATTTGTGATTCTAGATAAAACAGTTTTACTTTGATTTTTGAAAAGGTGGCTTCCTTTCCGCAGACTTTTTTTCTCTTTAGAACATTCTCTATTCCATGAGAGATTTCAGTAAAACATTCGTTAAAAAAAGGACATTTTATCATTTTAAACTAGTTTGTGGTTTTAATTAAATTTATTACAGGAAGCTATAAAATTTTGAAACGTGAAACTACTTAGTTTAAAATAAGTTTCTGAGTGATATAATAAAGCATCTATTTATTAGTCTAGTTTTAAAATTAAACATGATTTGTATTACTATGTGTTAACTGTGAATGAAAGCTTATTCTTTTATCTTAATGCTGTTTAATATTTATTATTTTAACGCTTCATATTATGCCTAAAAATTAATGTATAATTTATTCCATGGTTCTAGAGCTGAGATTTGTTAATATTTGAAAGATTTTGGCAAGATATTAAATAACTCAGTTATCAAATGTCTGATTGGATATTTTTCAAGTTTTCCGTAAGATTTATCAAATGTTCAATTTGAAGGGAAACAAAATATGAGCAGTCAAATGTAATTTCATTTTCAACATTATACGTTTTGCAGAAAGATTTATGACTGAATTTAATTATTTTAAAAGTTGAAATTTCTGCGAAACAATTACATATGGATTATAAATAATGGATTATAAATAAATGGGTTATAAATATTGCTTTCAACATGAAAGCTCTTTTTTACTTGTAATCTTGTCACAAATTATAAACTATACTACAACACATGTAAAATTCAATTAAAAATATAGCAACATTTTTGTCAACAACAAACATTACATTTAATTACTTTATTGTATTTTCATGATTACCATGATAAGAAAAAGAGTTAATGATTTTAAAGATATTTTAGTACCTATATTAGAATCAGATAATAAATCAGACATGTATACGTACAAGTTTAAATTTTCGAACTTTAAACTGATATTTATCTGTGGAATAAAATAGAGAAACATAGCATACAGAAATGCTATTAAATAGCTACAATTTTAATGTTGTTAAATAGCTACAATTTTACTTCTAATTCCTTTCATGTTGTTAAATGAATCCCCATATATAAATTAAATGTGATATTCATGTTAAATTTATTTGAAAACAATTTCTTTGATTTTTAGTCTGTTTGCGTATTTTGGCATTTTTATGTCAGAAAACCTAAAAATTCTTTTTTAAAAATCTTTTCTCCTGCCTTCTTGGCGGAGAAGTGTATCTAATAAGAATATTTTACTTGCGCAGCGCAAATTTGTTTGAAGAGCCTTGTAGAGACATTAGGTAATTTTTTGGAAGCAGGCAAGATGAAAAATATGCAACGCCTTCGCCGGGAATCGATCCGCGGACCTCTGGAAACGCACCCAGCGTGCAGACTACCACACCACGAAGGCATGCCAAGAATGCGGGAGAAATACCTTATATACTCCCTCTTTTAAAGAAGGGCTGGGGTTTTTTAGGGGACCCAATCGCCAAATCCTAGGCGTGGAGAATCATTATCCACAACCCTTTTAGTTCGGGCGCCACTGTAGAGACATTAGGTATTTTTTTGGAAGCAGGCAAGATGAAAAATATGCAATGCCTTCGCCGGAAATCGAACCTCGGACCTTTGGAATACCCACCCAGCGTGCAGACCACCACCCACGAAGGCATGCCAAGAAGGCAGGAGAAATACCTTATAGCCTTATTAAAAACATCTTGCATATGACAGTGGTCTCAAACTAGTCGCCCGTGGCAATTTTATGCGGTCAGCGAATATATTTCACGTAAATTAACTAGCATTATTATGACAAAAATTTGAAGAAAAGTTAGGATTTTAATGGTTTTTGAGTCCAGTTTTACTTTATTGTCATTACCATAAGGTGTTGTAGCTGAAAGGTGTAATAAGAAACAAAGAATTTTATAAAAATTTACATACAAATATTATTTCTTTTGTACCCGTCATAGAAAAATCTGATAAATAAAAGAAAGAGAATAGGATGCTATTATTTATTTTTATGTTTTGTCCTCCTTGGAAAGTTTTCGTATATTTCTTTCTGATTTAAATCAAAAGTAAATTACTTAGTTACTTCAATATATTACAATTATATGAATGAATATCAACCTTAAAATTTTCATATTTAGCTGTCAATGAGTTTTAATTACAAATCGGGACCAACAGAAATTTCTTGCAGGTAGCGACTTTTGGATTTCAGGCAAAAAATAAGCAAAAATTTGAATTTTTTTTTCTTTGCGTTATTTTTACGTTTTGTTATGAAAAACATGTATTATTTTTAAAAAAAAATTAGGTAAGAAATTTTGTTTTTTTAATTAGAAAAAACTTTCCTTTTTAGCCCAGAAGGGCTATTAGTCTTGAAAACGCATTTTGCGTTGAATCACTTTTTCAACTGTTGCCACCAAATATTATCGCCCTGTATTATATTTAAAGAAATTAAATAATGGAGAATCTGCATGAATGTATGAATGTTTCTCGCACTGTTAGAAAACAACAGTACCTAGAACCATCATCATTAAATTATGAATAATGCAGTCCTCCACCCGAATATGAGGACCTGGAACCCCGAATTTCGAATTTGTTTTATTATCTAATTCATATTTTGTAAAACGTTAACGAAATTTTGATAAAAAAAAGCTCAAAGATTTCAAAGCAAACAATGGCAACACTGTACGGAATAAAAACACCTTTTATCGTCAGCGAGCGAGACTGTCAGTCGGAAATTCTAAAGATAGGCTGTTTATGCTGTTTTCAGATACTTCCAGCGGCCGAGCGTTAAAGACGCTGAACACTGGTAGTTAGGTCTGAGGTTCGAATCCTGCGAACGGGCTGGCTGCATGGGCGTTTTCGTGGTTTTTTGCATGTGTAACGTGTATACGAGCTAGTTTCCCTTAGAAAGTCCTCCACGAAGGCAACTCTCTCTTTAGGCAGATAGCCCTCGTGATCCTTGACATAACTGAATGATCCAATCCAATCCAGATACTTTTAGCCGAAAGAGGTGTTATCCCAAATGCTCTCGAAACGTGTATGTGTGTGTAAATGGAAAAAAAAAAAAAAAAAAAAAGCCCATATGGGATTAATATAAAATCTAAAAGCTCTCATATTTTTAAACATTTTTAATTAGTCATATTGAATAATCACTGAATATGTATTAATAAAGATAATAATGTTAATAAATATAATAATATTAATGAAGAAATATAATAGAAGTCTTAAAATCAAGATTACGAATGCTATTCGGAGATTTTCAAAAACTTTTAATGTAATATTTAGCCCAAAGGGCGTTGGCCTAGAAGGGTTATTCATTTCGTTTTGGCATTTTGTGGTGTTTCACTATAAACGGCGAATCACTTTTTAAATTCTTGGCACCAAATATTAGATCTCTGTAAATTTAATATTTAAAGCATCGGAAATTCTAAAGATATGTTCTTTTAAATATTTTATGATATTGCAGTTGAATTGAATTTTGTGGTTTAAGTGCGAAGAACATGATATTTAATAAATAAAGGTAACACAAAAGACGTTAAAAAACACCCCTTTTAAGGCGTAATATAAAATCTGAAAGCTTTCAGATTTTTTTTTATCCCTTTTTGATAAGAAAGGATGTTAGTTTCTGAATGAGATATTAGTCTCGAAACGGCATTTTGCGTCGAAACACTTAAATGCGTTGTACCATTTTTCAAATTGTTGCCACCAAATATTATGGCCCTGTATTGTATTAAAAAAATTAAATAAAGAAGAATATGCATGAATGTATGTATGTTTCTCGCACTGTTGAAAACCAACGGTGGAGCCATGAAATTTTTAATAACGTGGTCCTCCACCTGAACATGGGCACATGGAAGCCAGAAT